TAGTTAGTAGTTAGTAGTGGGTAGTGAGTAGTAGTCGTAGTAGTAGTAGTAGCAGCAGTAGTAGTAGTAGTAGTAGTCGTGGTTGTAGTAGTAGTGGTAGTAGTAGCAGCAGTAGTAGTATTCGTAATAGTAGTAGTAGTAGCAGTAGTAGTAGTAGTAGCAATGGTAGTAGTTAGTAGTGAGTAGTGAATAGTAGTCGTGGTTGTAGTAGTAGTAGTAGCAGCAGTAGTAGTAGTAGTAGTCGTGGTAGTAGTGGTAGTGGTAGGGGTAGTGGTAGTAGTAGTAGTAGTAGTAGTAGTAGTAGTCGTAGTGGTAGTAGTAGTGGTAGTAGTGGTAGTAGTGGTAGTAGTAGTAGTAGTGGTAGTGGTGGTGGTGGTGGTAGTTAGTAGTAGCGAGAAGTAGCTAGTAGCTAGTAGCTAATAGTTAGTAGTTAGTAGTTAATAGTGTTAGTAGTAGCAGTAGCGGTAGCGGTAGCGGTAGTAGCAGTAGCAGTAGCAGCAGCAGCAGCGACAGCTGCAGCTGGAGTAGTAGTAGTAGTAGTAGTAGTAGTGGTAGTGGTAGTAGTAGTAGTAGTTTCAGAGGCAGACAACCCTGACCTGGCAGGTGGAGAAAAACCAATCTGACGCGCGCACCGCAAGGCAACACAGTACGAAGGAGATGTACACGGTTGCTGACCGACGAGGTAGTGGAGCTTGGCCTGGAACATGTACTGAGATCAGTACCTGAGTCGCTTGCCCCATCATGTCACTTCGTCGCGTCCCTTACATGGTCACATTGCACAAGCCCATACATAACCGATCAAACACCAGATAGAACCCACGAACCCAAATGTGAGATATAGTTGAAAGGAGCGGATTGATATCAGCGTGTACGCAAGCAAGCTTTATACCGCCCATCCTCCCGCTCTCCAGTGGCACGCCGCATTTACCCCCATATCTCCAAAACCACAACACTTCCTCTCCCAAAACTCACATTCGTCTCCAAAACGAGCATGTGGCACGAGACTTTTCCAAAACTCACTTTTCAAGTCTGCAAAGCCGCCCTGCCGAGCAGTTTCGCGATTCCAGCCCCTCCAAACCACACCTGCTGACACGCCAATCCCATGTCCGCCTGCCACGAAAACTCACCTCTACCACACCTCGTGCCGCACAAAGCCCGTTGCCTGCCACGAAAAGTGACAATATCATGCCTCAACAAAATTTGTACCTCACCACACGCTCGGATTGATTTCGGCACTTTCTAGACACAGCATCTCCATCCAGTCACATCCACCAAAGTCGCCATTTGAGCTGAGACTTGTCGCCAAAGCACAGCTTCCAAGCGACAGCCCCAAACGCAAATCCCAATATCCAACACCCAAAAACACCACCATCCAGACGCCAATCCCAATCTAAATGCACACAAAACTACGGATCTCCCAAACCGCTGCACCTGCGCAGGAATTCACACTCCAAAATCCAACATCCCAAAGACACCAGAGTGTGCCCCAGGTGGTTGGAACAGTTCCAGTTCCAGATCCAGTTCCAGATAGTCAGTTCCAGTTCCAGATCCAGTTCCAGTTCCAGATCATAGTGGGAGTGGTCGGGGGGGTGAGTTCCAGTTCCAGTTCCAGATCATGGTGAGAGTGGTCAGGGGGGCGGTGAGTTCCAATTCCAGATCCAGATCACAGTTTTCCCGGGGAGGGCAGGTCAGTTCCAGTTCTAGTTCTAGTTCCAGATCCAGACCTAGACGCTCGCATGTATTTCTTATATTCTAAAAATGCCTAGCTCTGACACTTGGTTTCTGTCCTCAACAGGTTTTTTTGGTCGGGCGACTTTTACTTGGTCATGCCATGTCACATGTTTCTCCCCTCTGCTCGAGAGCATTCAGACCGCACCACATGATCCATGTTTCTTTCGATGGAGAAAAGAACAACAAGGCCTTGCAACCATAGTGACCCCGGGGCATGTGTGGACTTCGCAGGCAGTCGGATAACAAGCACATGTGGCTTGCATCTGTGGGTGAAGCGGAGGGATGAAAACAAGCATCAATCAACGGAACAGCGTGGCCCACATGCATGGACGCAGCGGATACGAACAGGTTCGGTATATACAAACGTCGTAGATTATCGAGGCAAAGCAATCTGCAAACTATCTTACCCAACAGTCGCGTTCCTGCGGGCTTCACATGTTCTCAACAACCGGATTTTGTTAGTGCGCTAAACGTTTGAAAAAGGACTCTATTTAATAAAATCCTTTCGAGCTCAGGTCAGGTCCTTAATTTTTTTGTGCGCTAACGTTGGGCTTGATCGAATTTATGGAATCCTGCGTCAATGTGTTTTATTTATGGAATCCCTGCGCTGAGGTTGTAGGCGCTCATAAATAGCAAACATCGTTAGCTCGTCGTGTCCCAGCTTTTTCTTCTGAGCCAATAGCAATGCAGTAACTCACCCACATAATGAACTCCTTGCATTATATAACCTTACTCTCTTGTTCTAGATCCAATTCCACATCCCATTCCGGTTGTCATTTCAAGGCCTGTGATGAAATTCAGGAGTTCCAGTTCCAGATCTATTTCCAATTCCAAACGTAGTGGCGATTCTAAATTCAGATGATAAAGACTTTGGGCTGCGGGGGATGTAGTTCCAGATCCAGTTCCAGTTCTAGTTCCAAACGTAGTGGCGATGTCAAATTCCTATGCTAAGGATGATTTTTGGATGTGGTAAGGGAGGGGAGGTTCCAGTTCCAGTTCCAAACGTAACGTCGATTCCAAATTCCTGCGGTGATATTTTTTGTGGGGGGTGGGGGGGGGTTCCAGTTCCAGTTCTAGTTCCAAACGTCGGGGCGATTCAAAAGTCTTGTAATACGTCTTTTTTTGGTGGGGGGGGGAAGGGGGTTTTCCAGTTCCAGTGGTGGCGATTTCACTTTCCCATGAGATAGATTTAAATTCGAAACACGAAGCAGCCTCCATCGAAACACCTCTCCAAATCCTTTGCCGCATGGAATCCTCGACCTGCCAAACCCAAAACGGCGAACACATCATCCTACCCCCCACACCCCCAACTACAACTATAAACGAGAACCCTTCGCTACGCATTCGGGAAGAAAAGCACTTGATGGAAAAAGGAACAAACAAACTGAATCAGGCACCGCAAGCGAGTTAGTCAGTGATTCACTCCTATCGTAGAGGCCCACTGGCTGTGAGTGAACGTGCAGAAACAGGACACTCATGTTCAAAGATTCCAGGGCAAAGTAAAAACTTTGTTCATGCACAATTGGTAAAGTTGGCCACAGAGCTTTAAATAGACCAACAAATAAGAACAGTGATTTGGCCAACATGTGCAAGCCTGTCATTGCCCAATTGAATGCACTTCCTCGAGGGCCGAGTTGCTACGCACGAAGATGATGCAGGGAATATCACGTGCCACATACTGTGCCAAAAAGCATAGCGAGTCGGAGATGCACTATCACCTTTCCGCGAGGATCGCGACCTCAAAGCAGCAATCTTCATGAATCTTCTACACTCCTCTAGGTTGGAGGCCATCGCTATTACATTGCGTGTTGGCCACAGAAGAATGAGTGAAGTACTTTCTCGATGGGCCTGTGCTTCTGAAAAAGCTCACCCAGTAGTGTCATTCCGGACAGTTCGGAGTATGTGACTGCGACATGAATAGCTATATAATTGCATCGGGGGTGAATGGCTACAAGTAATCGCACTCAACTAGCTCACGTCACATGACACTACAAGCAAGACCCCAGTGACCGCAAGGTCAAAAAAGCAATTAAAAGCAGCGTTGATTTGGCGTGGTCGTTGTTCCCCCTCGATGTGCTTTCCTGGTAGCCTTGGCCAGTTTCGAGGTTGAAACGTGCGCTGCGCATGCTTTTGGAGCTGGTGAGGTCGGTGGAGAGTTGAAGCACTCTGCCACCAGGTCGTTTGGAATATTTAGTCCATTTTAGTCCCATGTTTGCGGTCTTTTTATTTTGCGCGTTTGGAAGTAAATCGGTGCCGCCTTGCAAATCACAGGGCTTCAAAACGATGCTATTCTGGATTTGAAAGCTTTGGAGGCACATGTCACGACGTGGCAGTTTTGAGTACTGTGCATGCAATGTTTCAAAAAATACAACATGCAATGCCAGGAAGGGCCCGATGCAACGAAGCTAGATGTCATATTGCCGCTTTTGGTGCAAACATACTTGCATTTGTTCAACGCAAATGTACGTTGTCAGGCCGCTATATGCTGTTCAGGTCATACATTTCAAGTTTCAAACGATGCCTGATCAAATCCTGGGTCCAATTGTTCGGCAAGTCTGTCCTCATGAAAGCCAGAAGAGCTCCGATATATCCGCTTGCTGCACAAACCAGCTGCATAGTCCCACGATAGGTGCCGTGCGCCAAACCGAAAACCATCACCTCGAAGCAGTCAAAGATAGGAACCTGTACAAACCTTCCTTGGCACAAATCCCGGGCCAGGAGTCCAACAAGGTATGCTTCGCATTCAAAACCCATTTCTCTACGGGATGATGAACAAGGTTAGCAATCCGTCGAATTTTCCTAAGCAGACGTAAACACCTCTCATGGTCTGCGTCTTGTTGTAAGCATACTGAAAGGCTGGAAGTCTACAAAAAAAAACATGTGTTTATGAAACTCTAGCAACGAATAACAAAACCTGACTCCTTGCGCAATGTTTTTTGGTTGCAAAAACACAGATCCTGCAACTCTTCTTTGCTCGATTGGGTCATCTCCAGCTATTCCAGCTTCCATGTTTCCATCCCCATCCGTCCCCGTCCTCTGTGTAAATCCCTACGAGGAAAGATGCCTCTCACACAGGCACAGGAGTGTCGTACGCAAAGGGTTCACAAGGTTCAAAGCAAAAAAATAGTTGCTGTGGCCATACGAACAAAAACATTGCGCGTCACGCAAAATGGACGTACACACGTGTTTGGTCTTCCGGATTCGTTTTCCGTGTATTCATCAGCTGATTCAGGTTACCACCTTAATGTTAAATTTTGGGCGCAGGACCACATCATCCTTCAAGAGTGTGTCTACTCGGGCAATTTTTTCATGTGTTTGGCATCGCTTGGGGGTGTTTAAAGCCCTCAAAACCCTGGCATCATTTTTTGCTTTCTGGTTTCGTTTTGAATCCCTACGAACAGTTTATATATACATGAATGATCATGAATGTTGAATGCAAAGTTTTGCTGGTCTCTGAAGCATAAACTTGAGTGAAACCAGGACTTGACTGGTTTGGATCCAAAACAGCTTCAGTGATGCCAGCGATGTTGTCACCATCTTCTCCAAACAAATCTTAGGAACATGGTTAGCCGCCAAGGCGCGCTGTTTGTGTTTTTAGTTGGCCAATGACATGGACATACTATAGGGTATAGACTGAATGTTGACAACAGAAAACACTAAAGCAAATACCAGACTCAGACATAGCATTCTTGCCTGGAGGCAACATCAAGTGTGTGCGTACGTAAAACTACGGAGCCAATATATTAAAAAACAAACAAATATATATATATATCAATATAGGCGTGTATATGTGTCTCTCACTTCCTCTTTTTGGCATGCGTGCCAAGTTCCGGCTCATTCGCCTTCACCCCCTTTAAGGGTGGGCAGGGTGGGCCTTTTCGAGCCCGACCTCGTTTTCGACACGTATCGTTGACGGTCGATTCTCTTCCCTAACAACTAAGACGTGTCTCACACTTCCTCTTTTTGGCATGCGTGCCAAGTTCCGGCTCATTCGCCTTCACCCCCACTTCAGTTCCAAGGCTGTGTGAGCCTGAGCTTGGCTTCCGCGGGGGTTTTCGACGAGGCCACCACCTTCGGCTTTGAAACCTGCTTCTCCTTGATCTCGCTGTCCAAGGCCGTGGCCGCTGACAAGAGTCTTCTGAGGATCAGGAACTCCAGCTCCTCCATGTTCACCGCAACACGATGTCGGGCGTCGAATTGATCAAACTTCTCCTTGCTAAGATCATCTGCAGCTTCGTTCTGCTCCCTGGGAATCCAGGCCAAACCTAAATCCAACTTGTAGAGGTCAAGCTGGGCCGCCAATTCCATCAGCATCAAGGACGCCGGAAACCGTGTCGTCAGAAACTTGTCCAACAGGAAGGCGTTCGACATATTGTCAGTGAGCCCTGTGACCGACACTCTTCCTGCCCCGCTTCTCCACCTTCCGCCTGGCCCAAACACCATGATGGCCACCGTGACGGCCAAGAGCTCCGAAGTAGAGATGGTGCGGAAGGGTTCTCCTTTCATGTAGAGAAATGGGGCGTTCTGCCTCGTGAGCTTCATGTGGAACCATCGGGCTCTGCTGGTGTCATTCGTCTCGAAAGTCTCCCAACCCCCGATGGCGATGCCGTCTTGGTCGGCCATGGAGTCTACACGGAAAACCTCGCCTAGAACCTTCGGGGGTTCAGCAAAACCCTCCATGGGCGATCGAGAGACCATCTCCACAAAGAAGGCAATGGCCAACTTCACCGCCAGGTGCAACTCGAAGTAGGATCCACATGGTGTGCTCGCCACCGCCGCATACATGGGCGCCAGAAAAGGTCTGGCGACTCTGACTGCTCCGGCTAGGAACCCCATGCGCCCCAGCCCGGCCTTGAACTCCCTGCCCAACATTCGACCCCCTGTCGAGGCCTCTTGGCCCCATCGTTGCAGCCACTCCACCTCCTTCTTGCTCACGCCAAGTTTCCACTCCTTCAAGTCCACGGTGTAGCCAATCCATTCAACTTCAAGCCCTCCACGCGTCTTGGACCAGGACAAGGGGACGTGCGTGATCTCCAAGTAGATGAACAAGGCCAGCGGCAGAGTGTGGTACTCTTCCCCCGAGGTGACATAGAGCCCATCGTCCTGCGAAGAGCATCAAGTAGTGGATGGCCTCCTCTGGTACCAGGTGGTGCAGCACCCTGAACAGAATAGTGCTCCGGCCAATCTTCCCACCAAAAAGCTGCCGATGCCTCTCCAAAGCTTCCCCGAGTGTTGAAGTACACCTCGTTCTCGTTGTCCAGTCGGCATGCCTGAAAGCCCCAGTCCTGCCCGTGGATGGGGACCAGCCTGTGGACTGCCTTCACGTCGAATGCCAGGAGGAAGCGGCGAGGAGTGGCCGACTTTCGAAACTCCCTCAACATGGCCTCGAGGTCGTCGTACTGGGGAAAGAGCATCTTGTTGGGCTGTGTGAGATGGGAGTTGACCCTCAACCCATGCGTGCCATCGTGTACCACTCGAACGTCTTCCCACTGAGCGTCCTTGGGAACCGCCCCTATAACGAGGCAATCTGCAAGTCCTCGCCGTACACCCTCTGGACCTCCGTCAGTGACCACTTCTCCATCCAGCCCTTCCGAAGATCCGACTCCACGTGCTCCTTGACCTTTTCCATGTGCTCCTTGGCGGTCGGCGGCCTTCTTCTCCTTTTCTGCCATAGACCGCCTCCGCCAAAGGTATCTCGCCTCTGACCCCCAAGGCCACTCCGGATGAAGCCATGTTGCCGAGGAACTGAGCGTCAGGATCTTGCACCAGTGCAGCCCAGGCCTTGAGACGCCTGAACTCGATCTCGGAGGACCGATCGCCCGGCTTCCTGATCGGGTCCTGGCCTATAGTGAAATCACCAACTCGTCCAACTCCCCGATGATGCCCTTCACGAAGTCGCGGAAAGGAGACTCCGAGAATCTACCAAGCGCCAACTCCGAGATCATCTTGAGAGTCGCCTTCTTGTCCATGGAACTCGCGAACTCCTCCACCTTCCAGCGGAGGTTGACCGGCCTTATAGCTAGAGTTTGCCAAGTGTCTTATAGACCCCTGATGATCAACCAAACCCACTGCCACAAAACTTAGCTCAGCTACCACCTCCCCTTGTACATCAAGTGAACCACTGCCACAACACTTAGCTCAGCTACACCTCCCCTTGTGATCAAGTGAACCCATGGCCAACAAACTAAGCTCAGCTACACCTCCGCTTTTTACGATCTGAGGCGCTGGCAAGTCTGTTTTTTGACTTGCTTGGTGGAAGATTTTGTGGTGTGCGTGGATGTTTTGTAGTTTGCGGCTTCTCGTTTTGTGCATTTCGCAGGGGAACACAGGCTCAACGACATTCACCATGCATGGTCGTTGTAACTCGCAACCCAAATATATAAGACTTAAAGGATGTTTCCCTTCAATGGTCCAACCCTCAAAAACTCGTCTATTCCACCAGGAGGGTATGAAGTTTTTCTGGGAGCCCAATCTCAATAACAACCAATCATAATCAATCTATCTCAACCGCCCGCCGGAAGCGATCGTTTTTGCCACACCCATGTGATCCGGCCGGATCCGGCCATTCCTCAGATCGAGGCCGGTGGACATGGGACTTTTGATGGTCTTTGCTTTCTAAGTGTGTTCGAATTGAACCTTCAAAATTTAGCTCAAGCGGCTGTACACATGGACCCAAAAGCTTGTATATATATAGGGCAGGATCATGTAGTAAAAACAATGATCACCCCCAACAACAACCTTGAAAGATCTTGAAAGAATACGTAGCCTTTGAACCTTGATCTGCCCAGATCAAAGTGTTGCCATGCCCTCTCGACAGCGGAAACAACAGGAAGTTCGTGCGCGATTTGCTGCTCGAATCGCAAAACGTCTTGCCAAAAGGCTTCGAGAAGAAAGCCACCAAACCCGCATTCATGGAACCAACCGGTTGCTTCCCCTTGGTTCCTTGAAGCGGTCAAGTTTGAGGCAGCTTTTTGGTGGGTGGATCAACAAGTTCTTTGGGAAAGGAAGGATTCTCACGAAGGCCTTGGCTCGTGAGGTGTGCAATTTGTTGAGGGAAGAGTTTGGTTTAGGCGTGACGCCAAAGGATGAGTGGATTCGAATGCGCTCGCTACTTGTCCTGGCTCGGAAGCGCAAACTCACAGTACCTGACCAAAAAGCCCCTGCTCCAAGAATGGACGCCCTGGAGACACAGCCCCTGTCGAGCGAGGTGGGCGCACATGTGATGCAGCTGAGTTTCAAATCACCTCAGATTGGTCATCGCCCCTCTGGCAGGAAGTGCAGGAGATTGCTGCCGTCGAAGCAGCTTGCAACAGGCCACTTCTCAAATCCTTGGCTGGCCCGGATTGATGTTTTGTTTCGCTTGATCGAGGCGCAGTGATGAAGATATTGGAGACCAGGCCCATCTGTTTCCTTCTACTGGCCTGACGTGTGTTCTTCTTTTCTGTATTCTATTCTGTATATTAAATACTACATATATGTGGTGTCCAGCTTTTTGCGTTGTAAGAATACAACCATTGGGATTCGAAAGCGGATCTTGGAAAGATCAGGACACCACAATGAAGAATCAGTCATGAAAACATGCGCTATGTATGCACCTACAACATCGCTAGGCCAGCCTGATGTTGCCACCTCCTGTTCCAAAGAAATGCATTGAGAAGAAGAAGGCCTGTGCCCTGGGACATCGATCTGAACCCTTCGTAAACCTTTCAATCCTGCCAGGAACAGGATGAAGTTGGTGTTGAGGCGCACTTCAAGTACATGTCTAGTTAGGGCTCCAAGTTGCAAAGTGCGCTCAATCTCTGTGTGTGAATAGGTACCAAATGCCGATTGGTGGCACACCTACGGGCCAGCTATGATCCCAACTGGTGGCTTGAGGCCAGCAGAGTTATGTGGTGCACAAAACTGTTGAACAGAAATTCTATCCCCCTGTACTTGCCAGGATCTTGATGAGCCCACCTTTTGGGAGGACTCAACGCTCAAGCTCATGCACTTTTGAACCACTTGACAAGCAAATGTAGTTTAACCTGTTATGGTCAAAAGGCATGGCGAATTGAATGCGAGGAC